GGAGAATTTTAAGCATTACTTTACTAGTGTGTGAGATGACTGCAATCATGCAGTAGTTTGAGCATTCTTTGTTTGGCATTGCCTTTCTTTGGGATTGGAATGTAAACTGACCTTTTCCAGTCCTGTGGCCACTACTGACTTTTCCAAATTTGCTGGCATATTGAGTGCAGCACTTTCATAGCATCATCTTTTAGGATTTGAAATAACTCAACTGGAATTCCATCACCTCCACTAGCTTCATTTGTAGTGTTGCTTCCTAAGGCCCACCTGACTTCACATTCCAGGATGTCTGGCTCTAGGTGAGTAATCACACCATCATGATTATCTGGGTTGTGAAGATCTTTTTTGCACAGTTTTTCTGTGTATTCTTGTCCCTTCTTCTTAATATCTTCTGCTTCTGTTAGGTGTATACCATTTCTATCCTTTATTGAGCCCATTTGCATGAAATGTTCCCTTGGTATCTCTAATTTTCTTGAAGAGATCTCTAGTCTTTCCCATTCTATTGTTCTCATCTATTTCTTTGCACTGATCGCTGAGGAAGGCTTTCTTATCTCTCCTAGCTATTCTTTGGAACTCTGCATTCAGATGGATATATCCTTCCTTTTCTCCTTTGCTTTTTGCTTCTTCTTTTCACTGCTATTTGTAAGGCCTCCTCAGACAGCCATTTTGCTTTTTTGCATTTCTTTTTCTTGGGGATGGTCTTGATCCCCGTCTCCTGTACAATGTCATGAACCTCCATCCTGAGTTCATCAGGCACTCTATCAGATCTAGTCCCTTAAATATATTTCTCACTTTCACTAAGGGTCTGTTTTATAAATGCATTAATCCCATTCATGAGGGCTGTACTCCCACAGTGTTATCTCATCTGAAATGCTCTGGTTCCTAACACCATCACCTTGGGGTTAGTATGAGTTGTGGAGTTATGCACACATTCAGTCCATAGCAGTATGTTTTCATTAACATTCAGTGTGGAATTAAAAATGTTATCTCTTTGGTTTCTTCCTTTCACCCATGGATTACTCCGAAGTATGCTGCTTAATTTCTAAACATTGGGACATTTTTAGTCTTCCTATTGTATTGATTTATAATTTTATTTCACTATGGTCAGAACACAAACTCTAAGATTTCAATCTTTGCAGCGTATTTTATGGAGCAATCTATGGTCTGCCCTGGGTAACATTCCATATGACCTTAATAAGGTGTACTCTGAAGTTGTTTGGTAAATTTTGGATACTTTGATTGTTAATTAAAACATGGGTGTGACAGTGTTGTTAGATATTCTGTATCCTGAATGTTTGTCCAGTTGTTCTTTCAGTTATTAAAGGACAGATGACACTTGATGTTACTTGGTGCTATTCTACACAAAATTTTTAGATCACGATTTCCAACTGTTGTTAGCATATTGAGCCTTCATCTAGGGACCTTAAAAATTCACCTTGTAATTGTAGTACTTTTTTGTGGGTTATCTTGGATTAATACACAATCATGCCACCTGTAAATAATGACATTTTTAGATTTTCAGTTTAGTCTGCACATTCTTTGTCTTTCTCTAGCCTTCTTGCATTAAATAAGACTGCCAATTGAATAGACAAGCTGATAGAGGAGAATCTTGTCTTGTGCCTGAATCCAGGAGGAAAGCATTCATTTTGTTGTTAAATATTATCGTGTGTCCTTTCACAGACTAAGACATTTCTATTTCTAGTTTTGTGAGAGTTTAGTGGGTCTTGAATTTTATGAAGTATTTTTTCTAGCACCTATGCAGTACTCATATGTTTTCCCCTCATAATCTGTAAAGTGGGAAGAATATTGATTTTTAAATGTTAAACATTCTGCCATTTCTAGTATAAACCACACTCAGTCATGATAATCATTTTATATATTATTGGATTATTTTTGCTTATGTTCAGTTAAAGAAAGACACACAACATACAAGTTGTGAGTTTATGCTTTAGTCAGGGTCTTGCTGAGCACTATAGCTTGGGAGACAGCCTGTTAGTGGCTCTGAGGAAACTGCTCCAAAGACTAAGGGAGAAGCAGTTTATATACGATTTCGGCGTGGGAATATAAAGTCAAGCATGTGTCTTGGTAAAACATTACTGTTAATCACGAAGAACAGATATCTCAAGTTAGTGATTTTAGTACTTTTCTAAGTATGGGAGGATGCAGGGATCTGGGTTACTCAAATTCTTCCTGCGATATGCATCCAGAGGCCTGGGTATCCAAACCATAGACTGCCAAACCCTTTAATCTTCTCAGGGCGCACGGTCCTTCAGCTGCTGTGGTCTACGCCTTGAGTAAAGCTCTCTGTTGCAGCCATTATTTAACTTCTTTCTGCCTCAACTAGTATTTTATAACAGGGCGATGCTGGTCTCATAGAACCAGTTAAGAAGTATTTCAGTATTCTCTAGTTTCTGGAAGATTTTGTGTAACACTATTATTATTATTATTATTTTTAGACTTCCTTTTATTTGTATTTGTTTGAAATTTGTTGTTCATGTTAGTATGTATGCATTTAATGACGTTAACTTATAATGAAAGCGTTAGTCACTGAGTCATGTCCAACTCTTTGCGACCCCATGGACTGTAGCCCACCAGGCTCCTCTGCCCATGGGGTTTCTCCAGGCAAGAATACTGGAGTGGGTCACTATTAGTATTTTTCCTTACATGTTTGGAAGCATTTAATAGTGAAGCTGTCTGCTCCTGGAGTATTCGTTGCAAGATTTTAAATTATGAAATAATTTCTTTAAGATCTAGAACCATGCAGCTTATCTAACTATTCCTGTTCAGTTTTGGCAAGTTGTTCAAGGAATCTAATTTATTAAATTTTTTAGACAAAGTTTCATAATATCAGTTTATTATCTTAAAAAAAAAATCTATAGCATCTGTACTTCCTTTTTCATTCCTTATACTGCTAATTTGTGTTTCTGCTGTTTTTCAATTATAAAATACACAAATTTATTACCTTAACCATTTATAAATCTACAGTCAGTGGTATTAAATAGTTCACATTTCTGTGCAATGATTACCAGCATACAGCCGCCGAAACGTCATCTTGTTAATCTGATACCTACACCCACTCACACCGTCTACCCCACCCCGGCCCCCGCCGCCCTACTTTCTCTAGGATTTTGACCATTTCCTTCTACCTTTCCAGCTCCAGCCGCCCCCTGCCCTGGAAAGAATGACACGGGATTTACACTTCACCGTGTGGTTGGAAAGGTTACTGAATTATTACAAGAAAAGCACAGGAAAGGCTTTCCCGGTCCTGCTCCGGCGGAAATCAGCCATTTCTGTCACTCCCAGCCGGTTTCTGACCCCGGACCAGGACGTCGCCCACCCTACGCCGTCCGACCCCCTCGCCCCATGGGACGAGAGCTCGAACACGAGCCGGCATCCGAGCGCAGAGTTGGAGCTCGCGCGACAACCGAAGGCGGGACCTCAAAATGAGTTTGCGCAGGGAGCTCCACCCAGGACTGAGTCTTCACCGGGATGCGCCCGAGCGCACCGCGCCTGCGCAATTCAGGGCGTTGGCTCACTCTCCAGACAAGGGCGTGGGCGTGGACGGTGGCGCAGGCTCGCGGAGCCGCGTCCAGGGTGGCGCCTTCTACGGCGGGGTTGGGGCGGGCAGTCTGTTCACAGAGCGCCTGCGCGGAGAGAGGGCGGTGGCTTGGGTTCTTGGTGGATGCCGGCTTTCACTCCGTTCCGGAGGTGTGGACGCCGACCTCAGCGGAGAAACGCGACTGAGGTAGGTTTCCCATGGGCAGCTCGGGCGGCTGGACCGCGCATAAAGCTGGGCATGCCAAAGGAGGGGGGTGTCCTCTCCCGAGGTGTGCGTCAGCCGGAGGACCAGGCCGCCGTTCTCTTTCCCGGGCTCCCGGCGCCTTCCTGCTTCTGCTAGCCCCCGACCGCGGGCTCGGCGCCCCGCCCACCAGACCACGCCCCCCATCCGCGCCACGCCCACGACACCGCACCCTTTGCCTCACTGCCCCGCTGTCTCCCCAACCACGCCCACAGTGCCCGCTCCTCCCACAGCCACGCCCACTCTCCCGTCTGTCTTTGGCGTCGGGAACCACCGTCTCCGAGCACAGGTCCCATTCTCTTCCCCCACTACCCGTTCCTGTCTCGCATCACGCCCCGCCCCTCCCTTCATCCTCCCTTCACCTAGTTCTGTCTCCAGCCCACGGGCCACCTGCCCTTCAGGGCCCTCTCCCCCACCCCTGCCCCGCCCCTTAGCCGAGCACCGCACAATTATTCCGCCCCGCCCACCCTGACCCCAGCCATCAGTCCGGCCCCGCCTCATCTTCCGGCCCCGCCCCATCCTGGCCTCAGTGCAGTTTCCAGTGAAAATGCAATGTATGTGTATTAGTATTTGTAATTATAAATGTCACAAAAACAAGTACTAGGTATTGATTGATAATGTGAAGCACTCATTTTAAACGAGGAATTGCTGTGTAATTGAAAAAATACACATCCATCGCAGAGCACAATGTGAGTTACACTGTCACTGGAAAAATAAGATTGAAACTGAAAAGTCTCTGGGAAGTGCAGACCTTGGTTCCTGTTAGTGGAAACACTTTAAAGCCCCAGATACGAAATTTTAATTGGAGTCACAGTTGTCAGGGTTCCAAGTTAAGGGTTGACATCAATTTATTGTTTTAAATTTGTCCAGTGATCTAACAGAAAGTAACAAGCTTTGGCCAATAAACATTTAACACTTTGCAGGCTACTGATGAAAATACACACTGTTTGGAGTTCATAAATTTTAAATGTTTTCAGTTGATTTAGTAAGAGCTGTGTTTATAAATTTCATTTCTGTTCATTTTCACATTTTTTACGTTTACTTCCATTTGGTAGAAGACTTTTTCATGGACCTTAAAAGATAAGTGAACATTATGATGCAACATAACAAGCATTTTCTCATTCTCTCTTTTTTAAAAAATAGAAATGAAGGGAAAAATGAAACATTAAAGCAGCAGTTATGTACAGATCCCAAAGGAACCATGGCAACACCAGGTGACTGCCCCAGAAGTGAGTTGCAGGTAATTTCGGTGCTGCTATTCGAGAACTTGTATTTAAAGACTGGGACCATTACAGAGAGTGGAGCTCACTCAATCACGGAGTGATAATGATTTCCTTTGACCTTGGAAGGTGTCCAGCACCAGGGGCTGTGTAAACAGAGAAAATGCACTGTGAGGTCACAGAGGACATTCTGAATTGGGCATTGTAAACACCTCCCAGGAACCCAGGGTTCCATTTTTGGCACTTGAGCCGGTGAAGCAAGCACAGGTTTTTTTTTTAGTTGTTAAAAACATCCCAGACAGAGTATGTTAGACACAGCTTGGATATTAGAAAAGATTTATATATTTATGCTTCTTTTCTGCTTGTAACATGTATCATTCAAGTTAACAGTAAAAAAAAAAAAAGTCACTTTAAATTTCAAGGAATGTTGATTATGTAAAATTAAAAATCAATAATCTAATAAATAATGTTTTTAAAAAACATTTTCATGTCTTTGATATCAATTTTGACATTTCTTTTTTTCTCTTTTCATTCTAATTATTTTTCTAAATTCATGTGGTTTTTATATATAGAAATTTTATTTGTAGTTGGATCATTTCACTTATCTGTTTCTTAAAATTATCATAAAATATTTTAATTTTGTGGATGTCTTTTCTTTTGAGAAATTAAAAAGTACTGGAACATTTATAGAATCAGTTCAGTTCAGTCGCTCAATTGTGTCTGACTCTTTGCGACCCCATGGACTGCAGCACGCCAGGCCTCCCTATCACCAACTCCCAGAGTTTACTCAAACTCAAGTCCATTGAGTTGGTGATGCCATCCAACCGTCTCATCCTCTGTCGTCCCCTTCTCCTCCTGCCTTCAATCTTTCCCAGCATCAGGGTCTTTTGAAATGAGTCAGTTCTTCACATCAGGTGGCCAAAGTATTGAAGTTTCAGCTTCAACATCAGTCCTTCCAATGAATATTCAGGACTGATTTCCTTTAGGATGGACTGGTTGGATCTCCTTGCAGTCCAAGGGACTCTCAAGAGTCTTCTCCAACACCACAGTTCAAAAGCATCAATTCTTCTGCACTCAGCTTTCTTTAGAGTCCAACTCTCACATCCATACATGACTACTGGAAAAACCATAGCCTTGATTAGACCATTTTTGGCAAAGTAAGGTCTCTACTTATTAATATGTTGTCTAGGTTGGTCATAACTTTTCTTCTAAGGAGTAAGCGTCTTTTTATTTCATGGCTGCAGTCACCATCTGCAGTGATTTTGGAGCCTCCAAAAATAAAGTCAGCCACTGTTTCCACTGTTTCCCCATCTATTTGCCATGAAGTGATGGGACCAGATGCCATGATTTTAGTTTTCTGAATGTTGAGCTTTAAGCCAACTTTTTCACTCTCCTCTTTCACTTTCATCAAGAGGCTCTTTAGTTCTTCTTTGCTTTCTGCCATAAGGGTTGGTATCATCTACATATCTGAGGTTACTGATATTTCTCCCGGCAATCTTGATTCCAGCTTGTGCTTCCTCCAGCCCAGCATTTCTCATGATGTACTCTGCATATAAGTTAAAGAAGTAGGGTGACAGTATTTATAGAATAATACTGCAAAAAATTACATATTACAGAGAAATGGAAACTTGCTAACATTTTGTCATATTTACTTCAGAATATAAGTATGTGTGTATATATATATATGAATGAATGAAAAAACCATGAATAAAGTCTGTTCTCCAGTCCCATTCTTCTTCTATCTCAAGGGCAAGCACTACTATAAATTATGAATTGATCTTTGTGTTTCTGGACCGTTTTTTATACTTTTATACCTTATGAAGGCATCTTTGAGCAATATATGATATTGTATGAGTGAGTTTTTTAGAACTTACTAAAGTGGTGGAAATTTGAAAATTTCTGGGCTATCCAGAGTATGTTGCTTAATTTCCAGACATTTGGGAAATTTTATATTTTTGTTATTACTTTTGGTTTTACTTATGTTTGGTCTGAAAATGCAACATTTCAGTCTATGGAAATTTACTCATGCCTGCTTTATGGTCTCATTGTAAGGCCTATTTGGCCTTACACTGGTCTCATTGTAAGCTTTATGGTCTCATTGTAAGATCCTGTGTGGCCTTGGATGTTGCGTGTACACTTTCAGAGACTAAGTTATTCTGTAGTTGTGGGGTGTAGTGTCCAGTGTTGTCACTGTCAGATGGGTCTTTTTTTTTTTTTTCCTAAGTTTCTCACTTGTATCCAACTCTTTGCAATCCCATGGACTTCTTCAGACCAAATGCTGGAATGGGTAACCTTTCCCATCTAGGATCAAACCCAGGTCTCCTGCATTGCAGGTGGATTCTTTACTAGCTGAGCCACAAGGGAAGCCCAAGAATACTGGAGTGGGTAACTTATCCCTTCTCCAGCAGATGTTCCAGACCCAGGAATCGAACAGGGTTCTTCTGCGTTGCAGGCGGATTCTTTACCAACTCAGCCATCAGGGTGTCATCACCGTCATATGGGTCATTAGTATTGCTCAGATCTCTGGATTCTGTCTGATGTTTTGTCCATTTGTTCTGTCAACTACTGAGAGAGATGAGTTTCAAGAATCTCTGCTGTGATTGTGGATTTGTCTTTTTTTTGTTACTTCATTTGGATCTATCACTTTTTGCTTCATATATTTTGAATCTCTGTTACTTGGTACATATGTTTAGATTAGTATTTGTTTACTAGATTAGTTGACCCTCTTATTTTTATGAAGTCTCTCTTTTTACCTATTAATACTTCTTGCCTAGCATCTACTTTGTCTTATATTAATGTAGCTCTACCAGCTTTCTTATGGTTAGTGTTTGCATGGCACACAGACACATATATATCTATATTTTCAACTAGTCTAACTATATATTTAAAGTATTCCTCTTGTAAAGAGCCTGTAGTTGTGTCTTTTATTTTCCTGTTAGGTAATTTTTGCCATTTAATTAGTGTTCAGTCCGTTAACATTTAGCATCATGAGTCTAACATCTTGCTGTTTGTTTCCTTTTTGTCACAGTTCTTCCTTTTTACCTTTCTCCATTCTTGCCTTTTAGATTAATAACATATTTTCTATAATTCCATGTTATCTTCTCGATTGACTTTTTAGCAGTACCTTTTTATTTCATTCTAGTGGTTACCCAAGAAATTACGTTGTGTATCCTTAACCTATCTCAGTCTTTTTTTTTTTAACCTTTTCACAATGTAAGAATCCTCCAAATTAGTTCCATTTACCAGCCCCTATTTTTGTGCTGTGTTGTAACATATTTTACTTGTATATATGTTATAAACCCCACAATAAATTATTACTGTTTCTCTACTATCAGAAGTCTTCTTTATAAAGTGTAAGTAATAGTGTTTCCCCACATGTTTACCCTTTCTGGAGTCTTTACACATACCACTCTGCAAAAACGCACGTTGGTCACTCCATGCACTGCTGGCGAAGTGCCTCACCCTTTATGGGTGGAGGCACTGACAGATGCTTGATGAAAACTGTGCCTCTGTTTCAGCCATGTCAGTCTATCCCATAAAGATAAAATGTCATCGGGTCAGGATAAAATGTGTGCAGATGTTTGTGGACATAGAGAAACTCCATCAGTCGGGGATGACTGAAGACTCAGGAAAAATTCTGCTGTGCAATGTTAAGTAGCCACTGAACATTATCAGTTGGAGTTCTGCAGGTGGGGAGTTTCCCCACAAGGTATTATGTGAGTGAAAAAAGAAAAAATTTAAAAAGTGGCTGTGAAATCTTTGACAGAAAGCGATGTCAATAGAAAAACTAAACTGAGTGTGTATGCATGTCTGCGGCCACAGGTGTGACATGAGCAGGAGAGGTGTGGGGCCCTCCTTCTGCTGCATGCTCTACATGGACAGCAGGCGGCCGAGGGTAGGGGATGGGGGGGAGCCAGCGGCAGTGAGAGGTGCTGAAGGGGAGGAGAGGGAGTGGGAAAGAATCGTGTAGAGAGATGAAGAGTGGCAGAGGCGGACGGAGAGAGAGGCAGGGAGAGGAAGGGAGAGGGAAGGCTGCCCCCATCACCTGCCTTTCTCGCTTGCTCCGAGCAGGAGGAGGAGGACCCCACCACACAGGCTGAGGAGGAGTGCCTCGAGGGGGCGGTGCACCCGGAGGAGTTCGTGGCCATCGCAGACTATTCTGCCACCGACGAGACGCAGGTAGCCATGTGGGTTTATTCTGTGTGGGTTCAGCTTGTTGGGTGGCAGGATTAGATATAAAATTTGCAGAAGTCAGCAGATCTAAATAAAGAAGTATTCAGATACTGCACAGCAACAGGAGACCGGCCAGTGACCCTTCCAGCCTAACAGATTCAGCTCCCAAGCCTGATGTGTAGGGTCCTCGGGTGAGGGATGGGGTGGGGGAGGAGGTACCTGCTTCACTTTCTCCTTTGAAACCCTTCCTTGTAACCTATTTAGTTAGGGAAAATTGGGTGTAAAATAAAAACATCTACTTGAATGCCACTTTCTTTACTTTGTAATAGTAATTTCTTAGCATAAGCCTCTAGCAACTGAATCATTACCACTTAACTGAGTTACAGTGAATGGGCTGTTAGAAATTCTGTTCTAAGAAATTCAAGCTGTTTGAAAATGTTTGATCTTTCTTGTTAAGGTCTGCTTCTGTTTCTTGTAGATTTCCACAGAAATCTCGAAATCCTAGTGTGACTGTCATAAACTGTCAGTTGATGTCCTTCCCACTGACTCCTTATTGCACTTGCTGTGATTTGGGGCCAGTGATGGGGCTTGATCGCTGAGCCACACTGAAATACCAACTGCAGGTTTTTCTTTAGTTTTCATTTCTATATATGTTTCTCTAGCTCAGCTTTTTGAGAGGAGAAAAGATCCTCATCCTGAGACAGACGACTGCGGACTGGTGGTGGGGCGAGCGTGCGGGCTGCTGTGGGTACATCCCGGCGAACCACCTGGGGAAGCAGCTGGAGGACTGGGACCCCGAGGATTCCTGGCAGGATGAGGAGTACTTCGGCAGCTATGGAACCCTGGTACTGCCTCCTGCCCGCCCGGCCAGGCGGGGCCGCTTGCCGCTCTCTGGTTTTAGGTTCTAACTTTAAAAATAATTTCTGGGCTTCAGCTCAACTGTTCAGAGTGGGGCCTGCAGATGTTTTCTTCAGCTCAGCTGCTCAGCTCTGCCATCCAAGTGCTGAAGCAGCCTTCAAAATTTCAGTGATCAGGTCTACGTTCCAATAAAACGTTATCTATAGACACTGAAATTTGCCTTCCATATGATTTCATGTGTCGTGTTTTTGGATTTTTAAAAACCATTTAAAAATGTAAAAGCCAATCCTGGCTTGCAGGCCATACCAAAGCAGGTGATGGACTGGATTGGCTGTAATGTATCAACTCCTGGTTTAGAGATACTATCTGAGCAATGGAGTTATAAACTTTTCTCAGTGTTTAAAAGTAGTAAATTTTACTGTAAAAATAAAATGTAAAACAATATAGATCAATAGTATTACCTATAAATAACTAGCTTATTAGTTTGGTTTTTTCCAGTGTAAATAAAGACCCAAAGTCCTATGGTTCAGACAGCCCTGTTTATATTTTAGACTAAATAAAATAGATACTTGAATGATGAATGTTGCAAATACGGTAGATTCAATTCTGTAAAGTTATAAAGCAACGTTAAAAGGTGTTGTTTGTGAATGTGTATAGAAGTGGTGGATCTGGAGATCAGGGACCGGATTCCCCTTAGAATTTGGATGATGGTTACAAGCGTTGGAGAGGGAAATGGCAACCCACTCCAGTGTTCTTGCCTGGAGAATCCCAGGGATGGGGTCACAGTACTGGTAAAGAGGGTCTGTATTTGGCGAGGCCAGGTGGGAAGCCTGGGGTGCTGGCAGGGTTCAGAGTGGGTGTGTGTGTGAGAGTGTTTGCACTGTGACTATGTCAGGTAAAATCTCCAGGTGCTTTTCAGCGTACCTTTTGTAGATATGTATTGTGCATGTGTGTGTACTCCGTGGTGTCCAACTCTCTGTGGTCCCACGGGCTGTAGCCCATCACGCTGCTCTGTCCATGGGATTTCACAGGCAAGAATACTAGAGTGGGTTGCCATTTCGCGCTCCAGGGGATCTTCATGACCCAGGGATCTTACCCTCACCTCTTGCGTCTCCTGCATTGGCAGACAGATTCTTTACCACTGAGCCACCTGGGAAGCCCCCATCATATTGGATCATTAAAAATGTTAAAGTAAATGAAAAACCGCTGATGTGTGTACATGCTTGTTCAGCCTCTTAGTCATGTTCAACACTTTGTGACCCCCGTGGACTGTAGCACACCAGGCCTCCCTGTCCCTCACTAGGTTCTGGAGATTGCCCAAGTTCATGTCCTATTGTTCAAATTCACGTCTAAATTCATACTATCCAACCATCTCATCCTCGAACGTCCCCTTCTCCTCCTGCCCTCAGTCTTTCCCAGCATCAGGGTCTTTTCTAATGAGTCGGCTCTTTGCATCAGGTGGCCATATTACTGGAGCTTCAGCATCAGTCCTTCCAATGAATATTCAGGATTGCTTTCCTTCAAGATTGACTGGTTTAATCTCCTTGCTGTCCAAGGGACTCTCAGGAGTCTTCTCCAGCACCATAGTCCAATAGCATCAATTCTTTGGTGCTCAGCCTTTTTTATGGTCTAACTCTCACATCCATACATGACTATATGAACCTTTGTTAGCAAAGTGATGTCTTTGCGTCTTAATATGCTGTCTATGTTTGTCATAGCTTTCCTTATGAGAAGGAAGTGTCTTCTCATTTCATGGTTGCTGTCACCATCCACACTGATTTTGGAGCCTAAGAAAAGAAAATCTGCCACTGTGTACATGCTTAGAGGTTTCCATCTAGTAAGAAAGAGTTAATGAGAAGCTGAGGTCTGTCTCCTCTGTGAGATTTCTTTCAACAGCAGCATAGATACTTCTTTCAAGTCTAAGCTGCATCTGTTTTATTCTTTTAAATTTATAGAAAAGGAGTAGTCCTGATACACTTATCACCTTTCTCACCTAGCTGTACTGTTTTGAAAGTTTGTTCTTTTCAATATCTCCAGTGTGTTGATTTTAAAAGGATCATATTTGCTTTTCATCATGCGAAGCAATGCTGTAGTGGATGTTCTCTTACATGAATCCGGCTCCCCTTTGCTAGATTCCCACTGGAATGGGAATGGGGTGGGTTTGAGGGATGTGTGTATGAGTTTTTCTGGGGTGGATCAAGCCAAGCCACCTGCTGGGAAGGTCAGCTGAGTGTTCTCCTCCCAGCGGCGCAGAGGGTGCGTTTCCTGCAGGTCTTTGCAGAAAAAGCTGCCAGCTGAAACAAGATTTCCCATCTTAAAGGCAAAAAACACGTATTTCGGTTTTGATTTACATTTTTAGCATTTTCATGGCCTGATCTGTTTATTTTTTGAAACTAATTTTATTACTGTTTTGTTGTGCTCCCCCTTTGCCCCTGCCCCATTGGTTGGCATTTTAATGTGTTTTATGGAAAGTGTGTGTGAATTTAGGGAGGAGTGACATCTTTATGATGATACGCTGACTCTCCTCGTTTCTTAACCCTTGTGTTATGTCTCTTTAAGTTTTAAGATTTTGATCATACATGGTTGTGTACCTTTCTAGGTGAATCTGTAGGTGTTTTTGTGTATTATTGTAAGTAGTTGGGTGAAGTGTGCTGTTCCTGTCTGTTGGATTAAGTTAGCTGATACTGTTGTTCACATCTGTGTCTCTTAACGATTTTCTACTTCTCTCAGTTACTGAGAGAAGGGTATGGAAATCTCTGACTGTAATGGTGAATTTGTGTTTCTTGTTGCATTTCTCCTGGCTTCTGCTTTGTGCGTTTTGAAGCTCTGTTGTGAAGGCACAGGAGCCTTTAGAATTGTTATGTTCTCTTGCTGCAGTGATTCTCGTGTGGCTATGACCTAGAGGCTCCCCACCACCCCCATCCTCAGTCGTCTGCTGTTCATGTCATGACCTGACGCTCTTTGCTCTCAAGTGTATTGTATGTGAGGTGAATGCAACCACACCTCTTCCCTGGGTTCTGTATCCTGGTTCTGACCCGTAGGCAGGACATCTGGGTCTCAACTTAGTCCACTTTGGTGGTCTCCCTCTGTCTGTCTGTCTGTCCCTGAGGGGCCATGGGCTCGCGAGGCCCACACAGGCTCCTGTTGGCACTGACCTGGTCTGGGTGGCCAGGCCTCTGTCACCACCACCTCCCCAAGTGCTGCTCGGGCTGGGTCTCCTTGGGGGGTGTGTGGGGGCGGTGCTGGGGGTGCCCCCCTGTGGCTTCCTGAACTGCGTGGAGGAGCCCTGTTCTGCCTCCCTGGGGATGCATTCGATTCCCGGGGGGTGCCGTCACCTCCCGCAGCCTCTCCCAGTCTCGTCCATTCTCTCTTGGAGGATCTTGGCCACGTTGTGTCAGGTCAGGAACGTGGCCATTTCTCCCGTGTCCACGCCACCTCCAGGTCCAAACTGCTTCTTTGCTCACCTGACTGTTGGAGAGGTGCACCCTGCTGAATGGGAGGGGTTCCAGAAGCTTCTGCCTCATTCCTTCACTGTCTACTCTTATCTGTATCTGTTGGTATATTTTTGTCTTCTGATTTTTGCTCATATTTTTAGGCATGGGGTGGTGGGGCTTTATGGGTCAGGTCAGGCTCTGATTGTCCAAAGCCAGAACATAGCGTAGCCCTAATGACAGACAGTGATCCTTCCTTCACATGTATTTCGTCTAGAAACTTCACTTGGAGATGTTGGCAGACCAGCCACGAACAACTAAGTACCATAGCGTTATCCTGCAGAATAAAGAATCCCTGAAAGACAAAGTGATTCTGGACGTCGGCTGTGGGACTGGAATCATCAGCCTCTTCTGTGCACATTATGCTCAGCCCAGAGCTGTGAGTAGGGAGCTTCTGAGCAGGGTCTTGGTGAAGCCTCCACTGCTTAGTGAAAAGGGCAGCGTGTTTCTGAAGGCTGAGCCCACCAGAGGCCATGCTGTGGGTTTGATGAGTCGCAAACAGCACAGAGTGGAATAGGACAGGACAGTGAGCCGAAACTGGTGGGATGTTTTTGTGAAATGTTTACTCCAGTTATGTTAGAAGCATGTCAGGGCTGGGCAGCTTGTGTAGACTGCTATCCTGGTGTCACGGTGTCCTCCCGCCCCAGGGAGGGACCCTGCCAGGGTCAGGGTGGACCACTCTCTGGGACTCCCGCTGGGCTCCGGTCCTCTGCCATTTAAAGCCCGTCTGAGCCGAGCAGAGTTGCCCCTCTCAGTGGCCCCGAGGCAGGTGGATGAGGCTCACAAGTGGAGCTGCAGCGCAGTGACTGCCCGAGTTCCCATCCTGCCAGAACCCAGACGTAGCATTCAGGACTTCTTAGATCCCCGGTTGGTAACTAGCTGGGGTGGGCGGCCCACATGGGTGCAGGGGCTCTCTCCACCTTCATGCAGCCCTGTGCCTGCATTTTGGCAGAAGGTGGAGTCAGGGTGAGAGGCAGGGCCTCCTGGGGCTCTATCAGGGGACGGGGTGGCCATCCACTGGCCGCCGTCCAACACGCTGCCTTTCCTTTCTCTGATGCTGGTTCTGACTCTGCTGGTGACTTGGGCTTGGGGAGAGTGGACGGCTGGCCGTGGTGTGGGGCTGAGGCACACATGGATGGTGTTTCTGTCCCGTGTAGGTGTTTGCGGTGGAGGCCAGTGAGATGGCCCAGCACACGGGGCAGCTGGTCTTGCAGAACGGCTTTGCTGATGTCATCACCGTGTTTCAGCAGAAGGTGGAAGATGTGGTGCTGCCGGAGAAGGTGGACGTGCTGGTGTCTGAGTGGATGGGCACCTGCCTGTTGGTAAGGGGCCGTGGGGACTGCTGGGGTGGTTGGTTTGGGCTCTGGGATATTCGTACATCATGATTAATTTTGACTTATTCCTAAGGTGACATGTCAGTGATTTCTTGTGTGAACCTTGGCTCAATATCTTGAATTTTTAACGGATTAAAAAAAAAATGCCTTTATGGGAAATCTAAGTCAGAGTGCATGTATCTTTCTGGTGAGTGATTTACATAAATTTCTGTTCTCTGTGAGAACCTGCAAATACCCAGTGCGTGATGTTAGGCTGTGTTTTCAGCGCTAGCAGAGCCTGTCTCTCCCCAAGCTGGTCTGCCCCCTCTCCATAGCCCCCCAGTCTGCATTTTGGTGACCGGCCTGAAGCCCAGGCTCTCCCGAGTTCCCTCCCCAGTCTCACCTGGGCTGGGGTGGGGAGTTTGCTGGTCTTGCCCACCCACCCCACACAGTGGTTTTTGCCTAGCTCTCTGTGCTCAAGGGCAAGTGAGAGGTGAGTGGGAGCTCGGCCTGCAGGCCCGTGTCTCCTCCGACCCTCCTCGGCCCACCCCCTTTCTGGGACCTAAGATGTTACAGTGAAATTTGGTCTGAAGTTTAGTCTCTGTAAAAACTCAGAGAAGTGACATATGGATGAAGGGGAGGGGAACACCACTGGGGTTTCCAGCAAGAAGTTTGTTTTAAATAGTAAGGAACTAATTTATATGAACAATAAGAATGTTGGTCCTCACTTCTTACAGATTGCAGAGATTTGGGAAAGTGACAGCAAATGACATTGAGCCTTAAGATTTCTGTCTGGATGATTTATCTGTTGTTGAAAATGGGGCATTGAAGTCCCCTACAATTATTATATTGTGCCTATTTCTCTTTTCAGATCTCTTAATATAATTTTCCATATGTATTTAGGTGTTCTGCCTTTTGATGTTTTAATTGAGCATTTTATATGACTCTGTTTTCTCTCCTTTCTTAGCATATCAGTTATACTTGTTCCGTTTTCCTTTTTTAATTGGTTGCCCTACAGTTTCCAAGGGCTTCCCTGGTGGCTCAGTGATAAAGAATCCACTTGTTGTGCAGGAGACCCAGGTTCAAGATCCCCTGGAGAAGGAAATGGCAACCCACTCCAGTCTTGCGGCCTGGGAAATCCTGCAGTCCATGGGGGGGTTGCAAAGAGTCAGCCATGACTGATCACAGAGCACAACAGTTTCCATTATAATTATAGCTGATTCAAGTCTGTTTTCATCCAACACTGTGATGATTCATGGGTAGCGTGAGTTCTTTATGAAAACAAAATAGTTCTGACTTCTCCTTCCAGTCCCTTGTATCAGCATTTTCATTCATTTTGTTACACATAAGCATAAATACACATACATGGTCAGGTACTGTGTTGCTATTATTTTGGATAAATTGTTAGATTTGTTAGATTACGTTGTTAAATTGTTAGATTAATTAAGAATGGGAAAAATAAAAGTTCTAGCTTTATCTTCACTTATTTCTCTTTTAGTGCTTTCCTTTTTTTATGTAGATCTGCATTTCTGATCTACAGGCAGACCTCAGAGATAGTGCAGGTTCAGATCCAGACCACCATGATAAAGCACATATTGCAATAAAGCAAGTCACACCAATACTTTGGTTTCCCAGTGCATATAAAGTTATGTTTACCCTATACTGTAGGGTGTGCAATAAGCATTATATCTAAAATAACAGTGTACATATATTAATTAAAATACACATTATTGCCTAAAAATGCTAACCATCATCTGAGCCTTCAGCGAGTTCTAATCCTTTTGCAGTCATAACATCAAAGATCCTTAATCACAAGGACTTCCCTGACAGTCCAGTGGTTAAGGCCCTGTGCTCCCCATGCAGGGGCCCAGGTTCAATCCCTGGGCAGGGAACTAAGATCCTATATGCAGCACAGGGTGGCTTAAAAAACAGCAACAACAGAAGACCAAGAAATATATTAAATATTTCGCTCCACTCTCTTCTTGCTTTCAAGGTTTCTGAGAATTCAGGTGAAATTTTATCTTTGTTCCTCAGTAGCTAGGTGTTTTTCCCCCAGCCTCTCTCAGGACTTAATCTTCTGAGTCTCTATAGTTTGAAGATGACATGCCTCTTCATACTTCCCTCCCCGCCCACCACACATTCATCCTGCTTGGAGTGCTCTTCACGACTGGATCTGTGGGCTTGTGTTTGATATTGTTGTTCACTCGCTCAGTCTTGTCCAACTGCTTGTGATCCCGTAGACTGCAGCACACCAGGCTTCCCATCACCATCTCCTTGAGTTTGCTCAAACTCATGTCCATTGAGTCAGTGGTGTCATCCAACCATCTCATGCTCTGTTGTCCCCTTCTCCTCCTGCCTTTAATCTTGCCCAGCATCAGGGTCTTTTCCAGTGAGTTGGCTCTTCACATCAGGTGGCCAACATATTGGAGCTTCAGCTTCAACATCAGTCCTTCCAAAGAATATTCAGGTTTGATTTCCTTGCTGTCCAAGGGACTCTTAAGAGCCTTCTCCAACACCACAGTTCAAAAGCATAAGTTCTTTGGCACTCTCACATTCATACATGACTACTGGAAAAACAATAGCTTTGACTGTTTGGACGTTTGTTAGTGAAGTAACGTCTCTGCTTTTTAATATGCTGTCTAGGTTGCTCATAGCTTATCTTCCAAGGAACAAGCATCTTTTCATTTCATGGCTGCACTCACTGTTCACAGTGATTTTGGAACCCAAGAAAATTAAATCTGTCACTGTTTTCACTTTTTCCTCTTCTGTTTGCTATGAAGTGATCAGACCAGATGTCATGATTTAGTTTTTTGAATATTGAGTTTTAAGCCAGGTTTTTCACTCTATCACCCACATCAAGAGACTCTTTAGTTCTTCTTCGCTTTCTACCATTAGAGTGGTATCATCTGCATCTCTGAGGTTGTTGATATTTCTCCCAACAATCTTGATTCCAGCTTGTGAGTCATCCAGCACAGCATTTCACATGATGTGTTCTGTGTATAAGTTAAATAAACAGGGTGACAATATACAGCCTTGTTGTACTCCTTTCCCAATTTTGAACCAGTCAGTCATCCTTCATAAGGTTCTAACCATGTGTAGGGAAAGAGCAAATTAGCCAAGATGGCGTGGTCAGGGTCTTGCATCCCACGTTTTGTAAATACATGGTTTTGTAACAGTGGAGATCACTTATAGCACTGTGCATGCACATCATGTTGTAGTTGCTTGGTCAGGGACCACTTTTGTTCTAGAAGCATATGTAAGCCCCACCTGAGAAACTCTTTTTGCCACATCTAATGCCACATCCGCCATTAGAGAATAAACACACGTCTGCAGTCCCTACGGCTCTTCGAGTTTTCTTCCAACCTCCCTGCTCGTGCCTTACTTACCCTGGGTTCAGCAGACAGTGTGAACCATGTAAGTTTCTAATACTGCAGTGGTTTTCTGTTCCCTCCTCCAGTGGACCATGTTTCGTCAGAACTTTCCACTATGAACCATCCACCTTGGGTGGCCCTGCATGGCATGGCTGATAGCTTCATTGAGTTATGCAAGCCCCTTCACCACGACAAGGCTGTGATCCATGAACGGAGTTGACATTAATTTGGGGAATTTCTCAGTCATTTTTTCAACTGTTTCTTCTTGTCCCACCTCTCATTCTTCTCTTGGTATTTTTGCTCTGTGTCTGTTATACCTTTTGTGTTCTGTAGCCCTTCAATGTGTTGTCTTTTTCAGCCTGTTTTCCTTTGCTTTTCAGCTTTGGCAGTTTCTGTTTTCATTTCCTCAAGCTCAGGCTTGTTGCTCAGCTGAGGGCCCTTACTAATGAGCCCATCAAAGGCATCCTCCACTTCTGTTACATTGTTTTGCTCTTGAGCATTTAGTTTTGGTTCTTTCTAAGAATTTCCATTTCCCTGTTTACATTGCCCATCTGTTTTGCATGCTGTCTGCTTTGTCCATTAGATCCCTCAGCATATTAATCATAGTTGTTAAGTTCCCATCCTGATAATTACAGTTGCCTACTGGTGTCTTCCTCTGTGGCTCAGTGGTAAAGAATCTGCTTGCAATGCAGGAGACCTGGGTTGGGAAGATCCCCTGGAGAAGGGAATGACAACCCACTCCAGTATTCTTGCCTGGAGAATTCCATGGACAGAGGAGCCTGGGGGAGCTGCAGTCCATGGGGTTGCAAGTATTCTAACACAGCTGGGCGACTGACACTTTTACTGTGTCTGAATCAGGTTCGAAGGTTTGCTGTGGCTCTTGTACTGTTCATGTGTCTTGTGATTTTTTCCTGATAGCCAGGTGTGATGACTGGATAAAGGGTCTGTGTAAACAGGCCTGTAGAGATGTGATGGTGAGGTATGGAGGGGGTTGCTCTGGGGTCTCAGTGTTGAGTGATCCTGGGCCTCTGGACTGTGAACCCCACAGGTGCTTCTCAAGTTTTCTCCCCTTTTGGGTGGGACAGGATCGCTGGAGGATGCTCGAGTTGGATATTATTCTTTCCCCAGCTGGTTAGGCTCTGTTAAGTAGTCTCTCCTGAGGGCAGACCTTGTTAAGGAGAACAGAATACTCTGGCGTATTTCCAGTGGTTTCTTTTGAGCTTGTGAGAAGCACTGGGTCTTTTCTCTGGTATTTACGGTGGGGACCCTGTGATGGGGCCTGCCCGGAGTCTTGGCCTCAGCTTGTCCACGCTGAGCCCCAGCAGCCTGTCAGCCCCAGAGCCTTCCTCCCTGGCTCTGGTTCCAGGGGATTTTCTGCTCTGGTGAGTTGCGATTCCCTCTGCAGCTCTTCCTTGACTTACAGTGAGGCTGCGTCCTGGCAAACCTGTCTTAAGTTGAAAATACCAGAGTTCAAAATGCATGTCACACACCTCAGCTCTCGAGCGTCACAGCTGAGCCTCACTGTCTTAGACGTGCGCAGAGCACTCCCACTTGCCTACAGTTGGGCAAAGTCATAACCAAAGCCTGTTGAAAACGAGTGTGGAAAGTCTCACGTAGTCGACGAATACTGTCCTGAAAGGGAGAGGCTGTCAGTGTGTGGACCGTTCACCCTCATGATCGCATGGCTGATGGGGCCTTGGCCTGTGTGGCACGTGTGTGTTGCACTGTGTATCACTAGCTGGGAAAAGATCAAAATTAGAAGCATAGTTTTTGCTGAATACCCATTGCCCTGTCATGAAGCTGAACCATCGTAAGTCAGGGACCGTCTTATAGGCCTCTCAGTTTTTCCAATTTGGGGGTGGCCATTTGCTCTGTGACCTAATTTCTCTTAGTGGATTTTAGAAGAGTTGTTGACTTCTCAGTTTGGCTTTTTACTTATTAGGACAGAATGGCCGCTTCCCCCAGGGCAGGAATGAAGTGGGAAGGGGTGCTCCCCTGTTCCTACTCAACATTTTCCTGGGAAATCTAACCATTGCAAGAGAGAAGGAAGAAATGGGAGCTAAACAGAGTGAAGGCACAGGAATAAATTCTGTTCTCAGACAATGTGATTGTTTTTGTAGAAAATGCCAGGGAATCTCCAAAAACTTTCCTAGACCAGTGAGCAAGTTTAAGACGATCATGGAGTACCAAGTCAGCCTACAAAAGCCAGTCACGTTTTTATACACTAGCACTGTTCATGACTCGTTACAGGGGCTCCAGGATGATGACACTAGACAAAACATGTGCAAGTTCTGGATGTTGACTCCACGTGATTGTGACGACAATGCTGACGACACGCATTGTTCATGAGCTGGAGACGGCCTATTAAGGATGCCCCTTCTCTCCAGGTTCATCTGTAGATTTAATACAATTCCAGTAAAAATTCAAGCAGGATTTTTTTGTAGATACAGATAAGCTCATTGTAAAATTTATGTGCAATGTAAATAAACTAGCCCTGGAGAAGAAAATGGCGATCTACTCCAGTATTATTGCCTGGAAAATTTCATGGACAGATGAGCCTGGCAGGCTGCAGTCCATGGGATCACAGTCAGACATGACTGAGCACAAACAGGCTAGAATAGCTGATACAGTTTTTAAAAAATATTTATTTGGCTGTGCCGGATCTTAGTTGGGGATCTTTGTCATGGCATGTGGGATTTTATTTCCCTGACCAGGGATTGAACCTGGGCCCCCTGCATTAGGATCACAGAGTCTTAGCAATATAACCACCAGGAAAATGCCACAGTTTTTAAAAGAAGAACAAAATCGGAAGAACTATACTACCTGACTTTAGTATAAAGCTCTGGTGTCAAGACTGTGAACCTGGTGAAGTGATAGACATGTAAGTCAGTGGAACAGAATGGATAGTAGATTCCTACAGATGCAGTCAACTGATTCTTAACAGAGGAACAAAGTCAATTTAATGAAGAAAAGATAGTCTTTTCAACAAATTATAGTGGAAGAGTTGGCAGTCCATAAACCAAAAAAAGCTTCAACTTTAAGCCTCATATCTCATCTTGAACAATGAACTCAAAATTGATTATATCTAATTGCTTAAATATAAAACGGTAAAACTTTTGGAAGAAATCATAGCAAATGTTAACGATTAGTCAAAGGGTTTTTAGGTGTGACTCCAAAAGCATACTCTATTAAAGGAAAAGTTGATAAATTGGGCTTCATCAAAATTAAAAAGTCTGCTCTGTAAAAGACAATGTTAAGAAAATGAAAGGCCAAGATTAGGAGAAAATATTTGCAACTCATATGTACAGTGTGCACCCTGAACATATGAAGAATCCTCAAAACTCAACACCCCCGAGGGGCTCTTGGGGCGCTTGCTGCTTTTGACATGCAGGTCACATGACCTCCGCGGCACTCCTGCTTTGCTGTTCCACATTTTTGAGAAGTGACTTCGGTCAACTTAAAGCATGGTGAAAGTTTTGAGAATACCTCAGACCAGAGTGATACTGTTTGAGGGTAAAGACCCCAGAACGCTTGTGGTGACAGCTGTCTCCTGGGTGGGCAGGGTGGGCGAGAGGGCAAGTTCCCTGACTGTTGGCCGTGCCCAGTTCCGAGGAGCAGTGTGGGTCAGTGGGCTTAAACCCAGTGACCACTGTTGTGACGGTGTCAGAGAGACCCTCCGGTGAGCTGGCAGCTCGTCCTGTCCGTGACGGTCCCCGGGGTATGAGTGCCGTGGCGGGGGGAGCAGACACCAGCTCAGCCACTCTGTCTCCTGTGTGCCCCCCTCCGTGCAGTTTGAGTTCATGATCGAGTCCATCCTGTATGCCCGGGACGCCTGGCTGAAGGAGGACGGGGTCATCTGGCCGACCACAGCCGCCCTGCACCTGGTGCCCTGCAGCGCCGACAAGGACTACCGGAGCAAGGTGCTCTTCTGGGACAACGCCTATGAGTTCGACCTCAGCCCTCTCAAGTGAGTGTGGGGCTCCTGGCCTCCAGGGCACGAACCCTCAGCCAGACCCTCACCTCAGTGCCCTCAGGCGAGCCTGGGGCTCCCGGCCTGTGGGACCGAGCCCCAGGCCAGACCCTCACCTCAGTGCCCTCAGGCGAGCCTGGGGCTCCCGGCCTGTGGGACCGAACCCCGGGCCAGACCCTCACCTCAGTGCCCTCAGGCGAGCCTGGGGCTCCTGGCCTCCAGGGCACGAACCTTCAGCCAGACCCTCACCTCAGTGCCCTCAGGCGAGTGTGGGGCTCCCGGCCTGTGGGACCGAACCCCGGGCCAGACCCTCACCTCAGTGCCCTCAGGCGAGCTTGGGGCTCCTGGCCTCCAGGGCACGAACCTTCAGCCAGACCCTCACCTCAGTGCCCTCAGGCGAGCCTGGGGCTCCTGGCCTCCAGGGCACGAACCTTCAGCCAGACCCTCACCTCAGTGCCCTCAGGCGAGCATCAGGCTCCCGGCCTGTGGAACCAAACCCCAGACCAGACCCTCACCTCAGTGCCCTCAGGCGAGTGTGGGGCTCCTGGCCTGTGGGACCGAGCCCCAGGCCAGACCCTCACCTCAGTGCCCTCAGGCGAGCCTGGGGCTCCCAGCATGTGGGACCGAGCCCCAGGCCAGACCCTCACCTCCGTGCCCTCACGTGAGCGTGGGGCTCCTGGCCTGTGGGACCGAACCCCAGACCAGACCCTCACCTCCGTGCCCTCAGGCGAGCGTCAGGCTCCCTGCCTGCAGGTGCGCAGGCCACAGGGCCAGAAAACCCTCACCGCTGGGAGTTCAGTTTGTCCACATGACTGAGAAGGCTGCCCATTGCCTTCCCAGCCTTTAGGCTGAGAACAGAATTGAAATGACCTGTTTATAAGGCCCCAAACATGATAGGAAACATCAGGTAATGTGAGCCATTAGACAGATGATCCCACGAAGAGCCAGGAGTGTTTAATAAGGGCCATAAAATGTGTTAGTGGAGTCCCTTTGTCACAGAAAGCAGTGCCCCAGAATGTGTGGTGGCTGTCCCAGTTTCTTAGTTACTGTCATGCATGTGGCAGAGCTTCAGGTTTTGACATAAACAGTGTCCTCACAAGGGCCTCCCGTTTCTCACATTTCCTCCTTGAGAAGGATGATGTGTGTATGTGGCTGCCTCCCCTCCGAGGCCACCAGGAGGCAGAGAGGGGAGACCTCGCAGTTGTCCTGGGGCCAGGGAAGGGCCCCTCATCAGAGATGGCTGCTCACCTGCCAGATGACCAGGTAGGGCTTGGCAGCAAGATGGGGGCCTCTGGGCCTTTCTGTTTTTTATTAAAAAAAAAAGAAAAAAAAGAAAAAAATATCAGTGTAGAGGTATGGAATCTTCCCTCACGTGTTGAGTCGTCGCATTCTCAACCCAAATCCGGAAGCAGGTGGAGCGGGGAGTCTCTGACAGCTGCTCTGTGGATTGTGCAGGACTGATGTGGCGGGAGCGAGGGAAGATCTAGAAAGGGCAGGGGGATCCTTATATTGCCTGGTATTAATGTCTGGTAATTAAAGTGACCAGGGAGGGCAGAGGAAGCTCTGAGCAGGGTCTGCAGTGTCTGGAAAAGGGCACCGTGTTCTGGGGGTGGGAGGACTGTGGCCGTGCATTTCCCAGGGACGTTGGTGGGCCCCTTGGAGGAGATGTGTTCTCTCACACCACTCACTGAAATTTAATTTCCCGTGGCTCCTGTGTCCTCCGGGTATGTGAGTGGGACACAGAGGGACATGCCTGTGGCTCCCACTCTCGGCTGCTGCCCACCAGAGCCGGCTTCCTCGGGCCTCCTTGGCCCTGCCTTTTGCTCTCGGGGCTGCAGACGGTGAGTTAGGATTCCTGCTAACACAGAGGAGGGAGCGTGACAGCCTGAGATGGGGGCTACGTCATTTCAGATGCTGAGCACTTACTTTTTTCCCCCAGATCTTTAGCAATTAAGGAGTTTTTTTCGAAGCCCAAGTATAACCACATTTTGAAACCAGACGACTGTCTCTCTGAGCCATGCACCATATTACAGTTGGACATGAGAACTGTGCAGGTCGCCGACCTTGAGGTGAGGAGAGATGACCCTTCCTTCCTTCCCCATGTATTCATTCAAATAAATGAGTTAGATTCGTTGCTATTGATTTTCGCAGTCTTTGTAATCTATGCTGATTTTGTTTTTAGTATTTTTAGGTTATTTTCTTTATAGCTAACCTCTTTAACATCTTCAGTTATTTTTAGATTTATGTTTCATATTCTCGGCATGTACAAATTTAGATAAATTATGTGTCATGATAGGATTTGAATTAAAATTTTTCCCTAAGTTTTTTTTAGCTCCCACTGATGACAAAATTCTTATAATTCTCTTACCATCTGTGACCATGAGGGGGCGTGTGTGGATTCTGGACAACCCCATTTTAAGGGGTCCCTCCAAAGCGGAGGGACCCGCTTGTGGAACTTACCATACAAAACCACGGGCAGACTGAACCTGAGGCTTCAATTTGTGTTGGGATCATAGAGACTCAATCTGGAATTTCCTGTTTGTACAGAAAATTGAGAAAGTGTTCTGCTTGGATTTGGGGACAGAAAATCAGGCTGATGAGACCTAGATTACCCCAGACTTTTCTGATTGCAGCATTTGAGTTCAGAATGCAAGCTGTAGCGTTTCTTTTCTCTGGGTTTTTGACACGTTCGGCTAAATTAGCAAGTTACAGATTTGTGTCGTAGCTACTGAAGTAGACAGTGTGGCTGCCCAGGGTGGTGGTGTGGGTCTTGGATGACCCAGGGCCGGCACCCACTTCTCACCTGTTGCCTTGAACACAGACGATGAAAGGCGAGCTGCACTTTGACATACAGAAGGCAGGCACGCTGCATGGATTCACAGCCTGGTTCAGCGTCCAGTTTCAGAACCTGGAGGAGGACGAGCCACAGCTGGTGCTGAGCACTGGCCCGCTGCACCCGTGAGTATGCCGCCCCCGCTCACCGTGGGCCGCAGAGGAGGCCTGACAGAGTCACGAATGTAAAGAGCTAGACGTGTCAGAATGGACCCAAATCTCTCCAGACCCAGCCGAGCCCGAGGCCGGGCATGTGGGTGGTGCTGGGTGCTGGACAGGGCTGTGTGTGGAGGTGAGTCTGGGTCGCCTTGGCCCCTGCACTGGTAGGGGAGCCCCTGATGCCCTGGAAGGTCAGCTTCCACCTTCTCTCCGTGGTCCCACTGTGGCTGCAGCTCAGAATTCCAGGGGCTCTTCCTCTGACTCTCGGAGAAGGTGGATGTTTCCTGAGATACGATTTTCATGTAGTAACACTTCAGAGCTACACTCCTGCTCCTGCGTGTGGGGATGCAAGCTTGTGTTGTCTGTCTGTGGGGTGGAGCACTGGAGCCCCTGAAGCACTGCCTTCACATGCGGACTCCACTCCCCTCCACATGAACCTGCTACTTGCCTGCACCATGTGGTTGGCAGAAGTGAGCACGGCCTCAGGCAGGGTGGCGGCCGCCTGGGTCAGACCCCACTGTGGCCTTTGGGCCGGGGAGGACCTGGGCATCCTTTGTGAAAGTTGAGCAGGAGGAGGAGCTGAATGGCCAGAGTGGACTCCAGCCAGGCCTCCTCCCAGGCCCGTGAGCCGGGTGTGCCTGACGTTTCCGACTCGAGCGTTGGGTGGGGATCATCCGCACACAGGTGGTGTGCGGGTGGGGATGAAGGGACATGTGGGCTGGGGAAAGGAGACCACCACTGTGGCTGAGGTGGGGTGCCTGTGCATCAGAGAGACTATGACGAAGGGAAAGAGGCCACAGAGAACCTTGGTGCTGGTGTGACTGGGCCCACCCCAGGCACTCGTGTGTGTGAGCCATAGAACTTGCAGAGCTTGGGGTGTCCCTGCTCACCCACATGCTGCCCTTGTCTTGCTCACACTCAGCCAAATTCAGAGAAGTAATGACTTCTTTAGGGCACGATTTCATGAGTGTGAATCTCTAACAGCATGAACTGGGACCGTGGGCATCACAGTTCAGGGTCAGTGGCCTTGGGTGGGCACTGCTCTGCCAGCTCGCGGAGGCTGGGTTGACCCAGAGAGGGGCCAGGACCTGTGTCTGGCCACATGCCCTTGTGGCCTGTCCACCTCAGGTACCAGGGAACCTGAGCAGCATCCAACAGCTGCATCCACCCACCTTCCCGGCCAGGCTGTGACCCCACCTGGGTCCCGTGCAGCCGTCTGATCCCGGGGCGGGGGTGTGGGGGTCCCATGGCATCCCCAGAGGGGGCAGGCTTAGATGACCCCTCGTCCTGTCTTGCAGCACTACCCACTGGAAGCAGGTGCTGTTCATGATGGATGAGCCTGTCCCCGTCCTCGTGGGAGATGTGGTCACGGGCACAGTGGTGTTGCAGAGGAACCCCGTGTGGAGGCGACACATGTCTGTCACCCTGAGCTGGTTCATCACTTCTGCACAAGACCCTGCGTTGCAGAAAGTAAGATATTTAGCTCTAGAGTCTTGTGCTCTGATGCTGTCCTGGAAGGTGGCGGGTCTGTGGGGGTCATAGTGGTGGGTGCCTGTTCCCACCCCAGCAGACTCCATGCCAGAACTGGTCTGTATTGTTTTTCTAATCCTCATGGCAGGAGGTGGACCCTCCTGGTCACAGGAAGCAGTGGTGCAGGGAGGTAAGTTCTCCCTCTGCGACTTGGCTGGTCAGTGAGACCAGAGACCAGGAGACTCCGGGTGCAGAGAGAGACAAGGGCTGGGCCATAGTGCGGCCTTGCTCACAGCGTGCGCCTTGCCATGGCCCCCGTGGATGTGTAGTGGAGCCGAATCTTGGCCGAGGCTGCAGTTTGAGGCTGAAGTGAGCATGGCTGGCGGGGCCTTGTGGCTCGTGGCTCAGAGGCCACTGAGAATCCTCTTCCTCACTCAGGTTCACGCAGGAGAGATAATAATCAAGCAAACCATTTTGTGCTTGGCTTTATGCTGAAAGTGGAAATGCTTGTCATTAAAAGAAAAACCTTCACCTGAATGCCAGCCTCTTGTCCAATATTAAATTATTATTAGGAAATACTGCATGTTCATGAAACTGACATGGCTTGCTGTCTGATTGGTTTGTTTTCATTTCCTTTGTCTTTCTCAGGTTGGGGAGAAAGTCTTTCCCATCTGGAGATGACAGGACAGCTCTGTGGGGGACGTCCATTGCATCTTGGGGGACATACGTGACTCTGAGGAGTCACTCCTGGACGGATGCATGTCCTGGGAAAGCCATGGACTTGCTCCAGGATGGGGTGGTGACACCCTCACCCATGGGCTCAGGGCTTCAGGGTCCTCCCCATACGCCTGGCACCGCGGGGCCCGCACTCACCATTGTCACTGCCCTGCCCGTCCTGAAACCTGGGCTGTGTTTCCAGTGTCCACTGTGGGTAGTTGGTGGCCCACTGTCCCTCAGCCAGGCCCGTCCTGAGCTCACAGGACATGCTTGTCAACCCTGTGCTGTGAAGGTGGATGTTCATGCATCGTGTGTGCGTGTGTCCTTCCCGCCCTCGGCTCATCGCTCAGCTCACGGACGTGGCGTCCCTGATCGTCGCAAGAGCTGGAGGTGTGATGCATGTGGTGGGGCTCTGCATGGGGTAGTCCACTTGTAGCAACGTCTTCCAGATAAGTTATGGGTCAGCACATAGGACATGCTCAATAAATATTTTTTAATAAATGAATGTCAGTGTATATCTTGTTTCTGTGAACATACTTTATTTTTCAGAAGCATATGCATTGCTTTATAACCTTTTCTGGTATGTGTGATTTTGATTTTTAGTTAACTTTTTATTAAAATATAAATTATATACCCCAAATTGCACAAGTCATGAGTATACAGATGAATGAAGTTTCACAAAGTAGGCACACGTGTAAACCAGCCCTTGGACCAACACCCTTCAGTACACTGGAGGCCCCCAGTGCCCCTCCCACCCCGAACCACCACTAAGGGTGATGCCGGCTTCTGTGACCAGACTTTAGCCTGGATCCAGCGTTGTGTGAATGGGATTGTACATTGTGGACTTGCTGTAGGCTGAATGTTTATGTCCTCCCGAAGCTCCTGTGTTGAAAACTAATCCCCGGTAAGGTGGGGTTAGGATGATTCCATCATGAGGATGGAGCTCTATGCATGGATTTCATGCCCAGAGGTCCAGAGGCTATTTTTCTGTGAACCATGGAATCACACAAGTCTGTCCTTCTTAAACACAGTGACAGGATGGGGGCCAGAGAGACACTGCTGTTCCCATGGGAGGCTGGAAGGAGTCAGACAGTGAGGGGTCCCAGGCACGTCCGGACACAGCAAGTCGAGTTCCATCAGCTTGTAAGGCTGGACAGGAATCCTCTGGTTTGATGCTTTGCCTTCCAGGCCCACTGGATGCCAGTAACCCTTCTGCTCTGGCCACCCAAGCAACTCACTGTGACCGCCACCCCGAGACCTTGGACAGCGTCATTCCAGTGAAACCAGAGACACCCCTCCTCCCCGTCCTGTGAAGGGGAAGCAGCCTTACCTCACCTGGGTGGGGGGTTGGGGGGTGGGCAGTGGCAGCCCTGGTGACCCTGAGTCGCCGCTGGGGGTCATTCTTCCCTTTCTTTGGAGGAGAATGGTGTTTGCAGCTGAGCAACTCTGTGCTGTCAAATGTCATGGTTGGTGCCTTTTCCCTCCTGCTTCAATATTTGCACTTTGTCTTTGGTTTCAGCTGTTTTATTACATTGGCTCCTTGAGTCTGTGAGCTGATATTATTTGTCAGTCTTAGAAAATTCTGGACCGTTCTTAACTTTGCATGTTTCTGCACTGCTGTCTGTCTTGTGTGTATGAAGTTGTTAACATATTTGTTGGAAAGTGTTCGCTGGCCCCATGTGACTGATGGTCGTCCCGCCTGCTTTCTACTGACCCCCTCCACCTCCCGGTCCTGTCTTCCGCTGCATCTGATCCTGGGCTCCCCGGCACTTCCCTGGCATCAGTCCCAGGGGAGTGTGAGTCCTCAGGACACAGAGCCCTGCCTCCCCCAGCACCCAGGAGAACCAAGCCCTGTCCAGACGGGCTCTCAGCCCAGGGGGACATTCAGACCTGAGTCAGGCAGGGGCAGGGCCTTCCCTGTGCTGTGTGTGGAGCTGCCTTCAAGGGTAATTTCTGGGCTGGTGTGCGGTCGACGGTCAGAGCTGTGGTGCAGGCCATGGGTGTGAGCCTTGAGGACAGCTGCCTTCGGGAAAGGCTGGTGACCTTCCTTAGAACCACCAGAGGCAAAGTGTGGATGGTGGGCCTAGATGGACACTGAGACTGAGGTGGGGTTTAGACCAGCTCGAGCAGTGGGATGGGAGCCAGAGCACGTGGGTGGACGTTGGGCAACTTCCACGGGGATAGGCAGGGACTTGGAGCTACCAGCTTGGAGTTGGATGGTGGGTCCCGGACCTCAGAGGGTCAAAGGCGTTGTCCTCCATAAGGAGGACCCTGGGTCGTGCCCCAGCCATGCCGGGGCCTCTCCTATGACGAGAGGCCAGCGAGTGCAGACGGTGAGGACGCAGGCCTTGGGGAGGAAGTTCAAGGAGAGGGCAAAGGTCAGACGTAACGGCCAGGGAGCAGGACCACCATGGATGGCGAAAACAAAGTGGGCAGTGAGCAGGGATCAGAGGCCCCAGTCCTCACCTCTTCTCTCCACACTCATCCGGTCACATCTGAAACAGCGAGGAGTGGCCACAGAGGACCGCAAGCTGAGAGGGTGTCTCCTTGTCTCCAAAGAGACTGGAGCAGGGCCCGTGGTCACCAGAACCCGCACCCAGCCCAGCGCTGCCCCGGACGGCAAGGCCCACAGCCCTTTGCTAGGCAGACGCCTGTGGCCCACACCTCTCATCCACCCAGGATTCTCCGCTCCAGAGTCAAGCGCCTGGAAGCGAGTCTGCAGGTGCCATTGCTGCCCTCAGAGAAGTAACGGAATGGAACGTTCCCTCCACTTTGGTTGACGATGTTACCACTAATCTAGATTTATAAGGCACTTTATCCTCAGTGAGATAATGTACAAATATTTGTAAGTCTAAAATGATGACGGGGCTTCCCTCTTGGTCTAGCAGTTAAGAATCTGCTTTGCAATGTAGGGGATACCGGTTTGATCCCTGGACAGGGAAGATTCCACATGCCTCAGGGCAACTAAGCCCACCCGCCACAACTACTGAGCCTGTGCCCTGAAGCCTGTGTTCTGCAACAAGACAAGCCACCGCGATGAAAGCCCATGCATCACAGCTAGAGAGTAACCCCTGCTTGCTGCAGCTGAAGAAAGTCCGCATGCAGGAACAATGACCCAGTGCAGCCAAAAATAAATAAATTAAAAAAAAAATGATGACAGAACACGTTTTGCTACACTATCAGTTTGGTTTATTTGGTCAGTTGTGTCCATCTCTTTGCGACCCCATGGACTGCAGCACGCCAGGCTTCCCTGTCCATCACCAACTCCAGGAGCTTGCTCAAACTCATGTCCATCAAGTCGCTAATGCCATCCAACCATTTTATCCTTTGTCATCCCCTTCCCCTCCTGCCTTCAATCTTTCCCAGCATCAGGGTCTTTTCAAACGAGTCAGCTCTCTGCATCAGGTGGCCAAAGTATTGGAGCTTCAGCTTCAGCATCAGTCCTGCCAAAGAATACTCAGGACTGATTTCCTTTAGGATTGACTTGTTTGATCTCCTTTCTGTTCAAAGAACTGAGTCTTCTCCAACACCACAGTTCAAAAGCATCAATTCTTTGACACTCAGCTTTCTTTATAGTCCAACTCTCACATCCATACATGACTACTGGAAAAACTTGACTAGACGGAATAGCCTTGACTAGATGGACCTTTGTTGACAAAGTAATGTCTCTGCTTTTTAATATGCTGTCTAGGTTGGTCATAGCTTTTCTCCCAAGGAGCAAGTGTCTTTTAATTTCATGGCTGCAGTCACCATCTGCAGTGATTTTGGAGCCCCCAAAAATAGTCTCTCACTGTTTCCATTGGCTCCCCATCTATTTGCCATGAAGTGATGGGACTGGATGCTATGATCTTAGTTTTCTGAATGTTGAGTTTTAAGCCAACTTTTTCCACTCTTCTGTTTCACTTTCATCAAGAGACTCTAGTTCTTCTTCACTTTCTGCCATAAGGGTGGTGTCATCTGCATATCTGAGGTTATTGATGTTTCTCCTGGTAATCTTGATTCTATCTTGTGTTTCATCCAGCCCAGCATTTTGCATGATGTACTCTGCATATAAGTTAAATAAGTAGCATGACAATATATAACCTTGACAAACTCCTTTCCCAATTTGGAACCAGTTCATTGTTTCATGTCCAATTCTAACTGTTGCTTCTTGACCTGCATACAGATTTCTCAGGAGGTAGGTAAAGTGGTCTGGTATTCCCATCTTTTTAAGAATTTTCCACAGTTTTTTGTGATCCACATAGTCAAGGCTTTGGCATAGTCAATATAGCAGAAATAGATGTTTTTCTGGAACTCTCTTGCTTTTTTGATGATCCACCAGATGTTGTTACACTATAATAAGTTTTAATTAGATAACAATAAGAGCAACCTAAAAATCTACATTTCTAAAAATGAAATTAAAAAAAGACTTAAAAAACTGCTCATTGTTCAGTTGTTCAGTTGTTTCTGACTCTTTGTGATCCTATGAACTACAACATGCCAGCCCTCCCTGTCCTTTACTATCTCCTGGAACTTGCTCAAACTCATGTCAATTGAGTTGGTGATGCCATCCAACGATCTCATCCTCTGTTGCGCACTTGTCCTCATGCCCTCAATCTTTCCCAGCATCAGGGTCTTTTCCAATGAATTGGCTCTTCACATCATGTGGCCAAAATATTGGAGCTTCAGCTTCAGTCCTTCCAGTGAATATTCAGGGTTGATTTCCTTTAGGATCAATTGGTTTGATCTCCTTGCTGTCCAAGGGACTCTCAAGAGTCTTCTCCAGCACCACAGTTTGAAAGCATCAATTCTCCAGCGCTCAAAAGGCCACTCATGTTACACAAAATTGGACATTTGAATGTTCCTAGAATCTAGTTTCTGCTCCTGATGACATTGCGCTAAGCATATTTCTGGATCTGCCTCTTATTCAGCCTGTGCATGTGCCTGGCATAGGGCTGAGTGCCTGGTGTGGGGGTGGGGTGGGGGACCCCTCAGCTGCCCCTTGCATCCCCCTTCCCAGAGTCCCCTCCTCCCCACCCAGCCTTGAGCTGAGAACTGTGCTTTCTGTATCCACTGAGAAAATAAAGCAACTGTAAGAGGAATCCCTCCCTTTGGAGAACAAAACCAAAGAACACAGCTGGTCAGCGCACAGTGCCCTGCAGAGAACATTCCTATGTTTACCTCAAGGCTGATGGAGGCTATGGATGTCTGTGGCGGGGGGTGGGTGGTGATGGTGGTAAGAAGAGGCAGCTCTGAGGAGGTGGCTTGAGGGAAGGGCCCCTGTGGTGGGGCTGGCAGCCTCTGGGCGCCTGTCTGTGCTGGGTCCCCACCTCAACCCCTGGGAGTCTCCCAGTAAAGCTGAAAAGCTGCAGAACCCTCAGCAGATGTTGTTCACAGCCTGACCAGCCTCCAAGGACCCAACTCCGGCAGCCACGCTGGGGACAGACTCGACCCCTC